TTTTTTTTAATTTGGGGATTTTTGGGATGAGAAATTTGGGAATTGGGGATGCAGGAGTCCTGGAACTCCCAGAATTCCCGAATTTTTGGGATTCTCAGGAATCTGGATGAAAATTTAGTGGAAAATGGGCTGGAAATGGGGAAAAAAAGAGAATTTGTGGCCAAAGTGGCAGAAATTTTGGATTTTTTTTTTTCAATTTGGGGATTTTGGGATGGGAAATTTGGGAATTGGGAATTCAGGAATCCTGGAACCCCCAGAATTCCTAAATTTCTGGAATTTTCAGGAATCTGGATGGAAATCCAGTGGAAAAGGGGTTGGGAATGGGGGGGAAAAAGGGAAATTTGGGCCAAAAGTGGCAGAAATTTTGGATTTTTTTTTTTGGAATTTGGGGATTTTTGGGATGAGAAATTTGGGAATTGGGATCTGGGAGTCCCAGCATTGCCAAGTTTTTGGGATTCCCAGGAATCTGGAGGAGGTGCTGTCGGACCAGGATTGCCAGAACATTTTCCCCGTGGTTTTCGTCTCCAGCCGCGCCCTGGCCACGGCGGCCGGAGAATTCCTGTGCCAGAGGTGGGAATTTGGGAATTTCAGCCCAAAAATCTGGGAATTCCTGTGCCAGAGGTGGGAATTTGGGAATTCTGAGCCAAAATTTGGGAATTCTGCCCCAAAATCTGAGAATTCCTGTGCCAGAGGTGGGAATTTGGGAAATTTCAGCCTAAAAATTCGGGAATTCTGCCCCAAAATCTGGGAATTCTGACCCAAAATCTGGGAATTCTGACCCAAAATCCGGGAATTCCTGTGCCAGAGGTGAGGATTTGGGAATTCTGAGCCAAAATTTGGGAATTCTGCCCCAAAATCTGGGAATTCCTGAACCAAAATCTGGGAATTCCTGTGCCAGAGGTGAGAATTTGGGAATTCTGAACCAAAATTTGGGAATTCTGCCCCAAAATCTGGGAATTCTGCCCCAAAATCTGGGAATTCTGCCCCAAAATCTGGGAATTCCTGTGCCAGAGGTGGGAATTTGGGAATTCTGAGCCAAAATTTGGGAATTCTGACCCAAAATCCGGGAATTCCTGTGCCAGAGGTGGGAATTTGGGAATTCTGAGCCAAAATTTGGGAATTCTGACCCAAAATCTGAGAATTCTGACCCAAAATCTGAGAATTCCTGTGCCAGAGGTGGGAATTTGGGAATTCTGAGCCAAAATCTGGGAATTCCTGAACCAAAATCTGGGAATTCCTGTGCCAGAGGTGGGAATTTGGGAATTCTGAACCAAAATTTGGGAATTCTGACCCAAAATCTGGGAATTCCTGTGCCAGAGGTGAGGATTTGGGAATTCCTGAACCAAAATTCGGGAATTCTGACTGAAAATTCGGGAATTCCTGTGCCAGAGGTGGGAATTTGGGAATTCCTGAACCAAAATTTGGGAATTCTGACCCAAAATTTGGGAATTCCTGACCCAAAATCTGGGAATTCCTGACCCAAAATCTGGGAATTTCTGCCCCAAAATTTGGGAATTCCAAACCCCAAAAACCTGGAATTTTCCCACAAAATTTGGGAATTCCAGCCCCAAAAATTTGGGAATTGCAGCCCCAAAATCTGGGAATTCCAAACCCCAAAAACCTGGAATTTTCCCCCAAAATCTGGGAATTCCAGCCCCAAAATTTGGGAATTCCTGGCCCAAAATTTGGGAATTCCTGCCCCAAAATCCTGGAATTGCAGCCCCAAAATCCTGGAATTTTCCCCCAAAATTTGGGAATTCCTGCCCCAAAAACCTGAATTTTGTTCCCTAAAAACCCAGGAATTCCAAACCCCAAAAACCTGGAATTTTCCCCCAAAATCCTGAATTTTGTTCCCTAAAAACCCAGGAATTCCTGACCCCAAAACTTGCACTTTTCCCCCAAAAACCTGAATTTTGTTCCCTAAAAGCCCTGGAATTCCTGACCCCAAAACTTGCACTTTTCCCCCAAATCCCGCAATTCCAAACCCCAAAAACCTGGAATTTTCCCCCAAAATCC